GAGTCTCCTGTCTCAGCCTCCCAAGTAGCTGGGACCACAGGCACCTACCACAATGCCCAGCTATTTTTTGATTGCAGCCATCATTATTGTTTGGTGGGCCTGGGCTGGATTTGAACTCACCACCTTAGGTGTATGTGGCTGGCGCCTTAGCCACTTGAGCCACAGGCGCTGAGCCTGTCTTGGTCATATTTGTAACCTTTATTTAGGATTGTGTCTCACTGAGTTTTGGTTTTTGTCAGTTGGAGACTGTGCAGGACCAAAGTACTGGGGTGTTTTTTGTTTGTTTGAGGGTTTCATTTTGTTGCCCTCAGTAGAGTGCTGTAGCATCATAGCTCACAGCAACCTCCAACTCTTGGGCTCAAGTGATTCTCTTGCCTCAGCCTCTCAAGAAGCTAGGACTACAGTTGCCCACCACAATGCCCGGCTTTTTTTTTTTGAGGGCTAGCATTACAGGGTGTGAGCCACGTGCCCCACCTGGACTGCAGTACTGTTAGAGGGTTAGAAGCAACCTAGAGTCTGCCAGGTGTCTTGCCTCTGAAGCTTGTGTGTTTAATTTTTTTTTTTTTTTTTTTTTTGAGACACCCTTCTTAGATTGCCGTGGCATCACAATTCTCAACAACCTCAAGTGATTCTCTTTCCTCAGCCTCCCATGTAGCTGGGAATCCAGGTGCCCACCACAACACCCGGCCTTTTTAGAGATGGGGTCTGGCTCTAGGTCAAGTTGATCTTGAACCTGTGAGCTCAGGCAGTCCACCCACTTCGGCCTCGCAGAATTCTGGGATTACAGGCATGAGCCTCCTGGCCAGGCCATGTGTTTAAACTTTTAACGTGTTCAGGAATGAGGGTTGCTACTGGTGACAGAGTAACACCAGACATAGGAAAAACAAACATCACACTCATTTGATTTCTCCTGTGCAAAGAGTTGATAGATGGCCTCTCTCGAAATTGCTGGAGAAGTATACATTAAGAGTCATTTGTGTTATTTTTAGGTTTAATAAGCTGGCTACAACTTTTTGGACATAGACCCATTCTGGTAATAAAGGATGTTCAGAGTTAAAACCCAAGTACATTTCCAGGTTCCTTGAGTTGTTAACTGGATTTTGTTTTATTTTATTTTGTATTCCGAGAACCATCAGCTTTCCATACTGTAATGAGGTATGGTTATTGGCAGGTATTTTCCAGTCTCGCGGCATACGGCCACCACAAGCAGCTGGTGGCACCCAGACTTGTATTATTTTATATCTTCCCATTGTGCGTGTCATCTTTCTGTACCAGGAGTTGTGTCAGGACAGTGCTGGCTGGGCAGCTCAATATATTATTAGGTACTTTAGTAAAGTTATGCAAATCTTCACTCATTTTGTTGATCTTTTGGACTCAGCCACAAGTTTGGGTACAATTTCTATTCTGAATTGCTATTTAATTTCATTGTGTTGCTTTGCTTTGTGGATTAAGCTTATGGAAATGAAGGAAAATGTCCTTTGATTGTGTTAGGATTTTCGTGGCCATGCTTGTCAGTTCCGTTGTTATGGAGTGTCACCCTCAGTTACTTTGGGAAATGGTAATTCATTAACTTTGCAGGTCTCAAAGTAATTTCCCTTCTCTTACTTTTCAGCGATGCTGACTTCTATTGAAACCATTCAAAGCTAAAGACATGGACCTTCAGCAATGTAAGAAGATATTGTACAGTATATTTTAAATCTATGAAATTCATAGTTCTGATGCTTTTGGCCACAGAGCATCGTTTTATCACTTCTGGAAAATGTTTATTCCAAAACAGCTTTAATGGCCCATATGTACACTCCGTAATCTCAAGGTTATTATTCTGACACCAGCTTGCTGCTATGATTTCAGAGCACACAAGTAAAGGTGCTTTTTAATGTGCAGTCTATAGCCACAGCTTACTCGGTTGCCGATTTCCAAGTTTTGATATTTCTGAAGTCTAAGTGAATTTATATTTCTTTCTGCTTTTCAGTACATGAAGTTAGTTATCATTTCCAATGAAGCTTGTTTTCCTTTTTATTTGCCCTCCCATTTTGGCTTCTGCAGTGCTTTGTTCCCACTTGATTTGTAAAAATTTTATATATATATTTAAAATGTGCCATTTTATTGCTAATTGAAGTATGTCCTGTTTTCTGCTACGATTCCTTCTCAGTCAGATTGCTACATCAGCAGTTACTGCCACACTCTTCGTCAGCTTCAAAACAAATGTTGCCGCTTATCTTTTCTTAAAACAATTAAAAGTGTAGGTATTGAAGTACTGGGCTTCTACTTCATTGGAATAGATGTGTACAGCAATAAGCAGGTTTTTAAATCCAGTACTTAGTTAGTGTATAAATGTAATTATGTTCATTGTGTATATATTATACAATGAGCACATGTAATGTATTAAAGGCTACTTACTATTGTTTAAATGCAAATGTTCATATCTCATTTCTTTTTTATCATGTTAAATAAATGTTGATGTTCTTAAATCATTTGTGTTAGAATTTTTGATCTTGCCATCTAAAAAGGAAAGTCTAAGACTCAGAGACTTTCTAGAAGAGAAACTAGTCTGTTAATCTTAGAATCCTAGACATTATAAATTATAGACCCTTGTCTGTCCAGCCCTCCCATGTCAAAGTTAGGAACTTGAGGCTCAGAGAGATAAGTTGACTTGGCCCCAGTTGCATTACATTTCATGACAGAATTTTGACCACAGTCTAGTTTTTATGACCTCTCTAAATTCACTAGCTCATGTCCACTGGACGAATTTAGTTTTGTGAAGTCTCCTACTAAAGCTCTTCCTACTTGCTCGCATGTTTTCAAAGGTAACTTCAAGCATCTGCAGTCCCATTCTGCTTAGGGGTTGGACTCTGAGAGGGCTGTTACTCTTAAATGCGTAACTAGAAACCGTTTCATCATAAGTAGGAGCCTCAGAGATCATTTTCTTATAATACATTCTTTGCAGATGTTCACGCTCTTCAGAATCAATTACATGTTCTTGCCTCTGTAACCTTTTGTTCATGCTATATATTGTTCCCAGAGTACAAGGAAATCTGATGCTTTTGGATTCCTATATAAAATGGCTAAAACTAAATTGGCCCCGGTAAGTCTTTTTTTTCCCCCATACTATATTATAGAGGATTTAGATTCAACTCAAAATGCAGATGTATAAAAATTTTTCTGCTTGAAAAGAAACACAATATGAATTGCAAATAGATAACAGTCTATATTTTAGGTGGTGAATGAAAACAGCTTGAAATTTGAGGAGAGTGTTCAGCTCTCTGTATCCACATAAACGTGTTTATATATTTTATCTTTCCTTAAACGTGTCACACGAAAGTCTTCTTAAATAGTCAACAGATATTTCCTTTTGTCTGTGATACAATGATTGTTACGTATGTCTTTTGTTTGTGTTAGGAAGGAGCTGCTATTATTCTTTGGGTTTTGTTTGCAATTTGTGTGTGTATGTGTATCTTACTTTGGGTTTTTTAAGCACAACATTTTTTAACTATTTCTGGGAAGAAAAATGCTTCTTTCTAAGATCCCTGGCGGCCGAGGGAGTTTGGAAAAAGCAGCAGGAAGTAGTTGTGATTCTTGGCTCAGCTCCCATAGCTCAGTGAGTAGAGCGCCAGTCACATACGCCAAGGCTGGCGTGTTTGAGCCCGGCCCGGGCCTGCTGAACAACAATGACAACTGCAACCAAAAAATAAC